GGTGGCTTCAACAACAGAAATTTATTTTCTCATAGTTCTGGAGGCTAGAAGTTCAAGATCAAAGTGTTAGTAGGTTTTCTCCTGAGGCCTCCTTGGCTTGCAAGACGGCCACCTTCTCACTGCATCCTCACACGGCTCCTCCACCGCGCGTGCGCTAGTTTGGCGTCTCTTTGTGAGCCCAAATTTCCTCTTCTTGTAAGGACACCAGTCGATTGGATTAGGGCCCACCGTAGCAGCCTTACGTTAATTTAATCACCTCTTCAAAGGCCCTATCTCCACATAAACAGTCCCATTCTGAGGTACTGGGGGTTAGGGTTTCAACATATAAATTTTGGGGAGGACACAATTCAGCCCACAGCAGCAGGCATAAATGAAAATAGCTAGTAAGATTACAGGAGGAGTACTGAGAGTGAACTGAGTTAATCTCTGAAAACATGTATGTTTATACCCTAAACCTACCAACTTACAAAATTCTAGAAAACAAAAATATACAAGCACACATTCCATTAACCATCAGAGTGATGGTCACCACATCACGTAGCCTCTGGAAAACTCCACTGAATACTCGTGAGAGAATGTGAGAGAAAAAGGCAAATAATACTTTGGTGTTTTTATGAAAATAGTTTGGGCCTCACCAACCTTATCTAAAAGGTTCTCGGAGGCTCCTAGGAGCACAAAGACCACACCTGGTAAACCACTGGTACAAGGTGTATGACCTTAGGCAAATTTCTTAACCTTGTTAAGCCTCAGTTTGTAAAATGAGAATAATAATACCAATTTAAGTGGGCTGAGGAAAGATTGAGTTAATGCATAAACTAGTGACAAATATGATCATTCGGCTAGTATTAGCTGTTATTACTTGTGAAAAATTATTATACTGAATTTCTCATCTTTGATATGTGCTTAAATGCATAGGGAGTAGTTAACTCCGGGTGATGAAATTTATTAAGCATTTAAATTAACATGTAACATACACACTGATAAAAGCACAAAGCATAAATGTATAGTTTGATAATTTTTCACGAAATAAACTTATTTTACCTTTGTTTTAAAAAAAAATAAAAACACCACTAATAAAACCCACCATAACAGCCGCTGCTGTCCTCACTTGTACTAGCTGTGGGCTTTGACGTGCAGGCTACCTGAGTGTTCTGCTGGGTCAACTCAATACACCTCTGATGCCATCGGCTTCCCTTTAGCTCCAAGAAAAAGAGCACAATGCAAGAGCAAACGTGAACCTAATCTGTATCGTTACGATGTCCAGTTTAGGAAACTCTGGAGCTCACTTTTAAAATAATCATTACAAGTAGCATTTACAATGTGTCTACCGTGCATATGGAGTTCACGTGGGGTAACTTACTATGTCCCCATTACAATCTGGTGAGGGGGGCCCTGAATCTTGAAAAATTCTTTTAGTTCCATCAAAAATGATTTGCTCTCTACCACTGTTGCTTTTTCATAAAAATTCTACATCAAAACTACCTGATGTCACGCCCCTTCCTACAACAGCAGTGAAGACTGTATTTCTTTTAGCGCTACCCTGTCCCAAAAATTTGTCTACAGACTTCTAAAAAGAAAATTTGGCCAGACATAGTGGCTCATGCCTGTAATTTTAGCACTTTAGGAGGCCAAGGCGGGAGGATAAGACCTGCCCGAGAAAGAGTGAAACCCCATTTCTACAAAAAATAGAAAAATTAGCTGTGTGTGGTGGCGTGTGCCTGTAGTCCCAGCTACTCAGGAGGCTGAGGCGGGAGGATCACTTGAGCTGAGGAGGTTGATGCTCCAGTGAGCTATGATGATGCCACTGCACTCTAGCCCGGGCGACAGAGCAAGATCCTGTCTCAAAAAAAAAAAAAATTTTTTTTTTAAAGATGAATTTAAAAATTTTTAAACTCTAACAATACCTACCGATTTACACAATTTTAGAAAACACAAAAATACACAAGCATACATTCCAGAGTGATGATGTCACCAAGTCACATAGCCTCTGGAAAACTCTACTGTACACTTATAGGAGAATGAGAATGAAAAAGGCAAACAACTTGTGAAACACTGCCTAACAATATATGCTTAAATGTATAGAGAATAGTAACCACTAAATTCTAAATAACAGAATTTCCAATTCTATTGAGGATTTAGTATTTGATATATAAAGTTACATTTTCCAAAGACAAAACTTTAAAAAAATTTTCCTACAAACATAAGGCATAAATCTCTGACACGCAAAAGAGGACATCTTTAATTCCTGGCCAAGGCTGCCTAATGGCTTGTCAGGAAGAAAACAGTGACAGAGGCAGCACCAAGACTTGAGGGCATTCAACTCCACGGTCAGCTTCGAGATCAGTACTAGCCCTGGGAGCACTGATTCCCACCCGCCCCTAACAATCTGAGGCGAGGTAAAATCTCAACTTAAATAAAAATTATTATCACCAGTAGAAAGCAGAAGACTTTTGGGAAAAATCGGCCCTGCAGGCACCAATATGTAAGTCCTTGATGAATGATACAGCTATGCCAGCGAATGAGTTATGGCAACACTGTATCCCAACACGCACTGACTAAGGGGGTCAAACTGAAACTATGTGAAAAACACAGTTACTTTGGAAATTCAATTATTCACAAATGATCTCTGCAGTCCTGCTGATAAACAAATCTCTGGGTGTCAGACACAGTCCTCACAATGTAGCGACCTTAACGCACAGGGTTCAAAAGCAGACTTAAAGGATAGAAAGAATTAAGAATAAGGAGTGAAGGAGAGGAGGAGAGGACATGCAGGGAGGAAGAACGTGAGGCTAGAGGTCCCCAGCTGAGCACCTGGCAGAACTCACAAGATGGCTGGGGCAAAGCTGGAGCTGGGAGCACTCCCCCACTCGGCTGGTCTGCAGTGAGGGAGAACAGAACGCCCTCCGTGGTGACACTCTGCACGGTCCTGCTGATATCATCATCGTTTCTGTTGCTGCTGCCTTGAGAAGTAAACAGAAAGGCGCTACAGTACTGCAACTCCGTCAGGGGCATGGGAAGGCGAGGGGGGGATGGGGTGAAGGAACAAGAATCCAATAAATATTTTTTTTTTTTGAGATAAGAGTCTCACTGTGTTGTCCAGGCTAGAGTGCCGTGGCGTCATCCTAGCTCACAGCAACCTCAAACTCCTGGGCTCAAGCAATCCTTCTGCCTCAGCCTCCCAAGTAGCTGGGACTACAGGCATGTGCCACCATGCCCGGCTAATTTTTTCTATATATTTTTAGTTGTCCAATTAATTTCTTTCTATTTTTAGTAGAGATGGGGGTCTCGCTCTTGCTCAGGCTGGTTTCGAACTCCTGAGCTCAAACAACCCGCCCGCCTCGGCCTCCCAGAGAGCTGGGATTACAGGCGTGAGCCACCACGCCCGGCCCCAACAAATATTTTTTAAAAGGACTAACTTTAGAAGAAAAAGGACAGATCGAGCAAAATAAAAGGAAAAAAACTTTAATAGTTATTTTGCTAAAGGTAAAATTCCAGGTAGTAAAGGAATTAAAAGCAGGGTCTCAGAGATATTTGCACACCCATGTTTGTATTAGCACTATTTACTAGAGGCAAGTGGTAGAAGCAACCCAAGTGTCCAGTGATGGATAAACAAAATGTGGTATACACATATAATGGAATATTATTCAAATCCTGAACAAGAAAGGAAGTCCTGTCACATGATACTACATTGATGAACCTTAAGGACACTATGCTAAGTGAAATAAGCCAGTCTCAAAAAGACAAATACTCTGTGATTCCACTTATATGAGATACTCAGAGTAGTCAAAATCATAGAGACAGAAAGTAGAATGGTGGTTGCCAGGTATTGTTTAATGGGTATGGAGTTTCAATTTTACAAGACGAAAAAGTTGCAGAGACAGATGGTAGTGATGGTTGCACAATATTATGAATGCATTTAATAACACTGTACTGCACACTTAAAAATGGCTGACAGTAAATTTTATGTTATATATATTTTACCAAAATAAAAAAATTAAAGAAAAAAATTGAAAAGAACAAGGCCAAGTTCTCCTTCTCTTGGCTGACAGTCTGATGAACATGGACAGCCAATAGAGGCAATGCTGAGTCCACGGAGAACCACCCAGAAAAGTCACCATCCAAATTTCCACATCCCTCCTTGGCAATTAAAATGAAGATACTTTTCTTTAGCATCTTGTGAGGATGTTCAACTTCTCCTGCTTTCCAAGATCCACCTCAGGAGAAGTCGATTTGTCCACAGGAGGCGTAGTTTCCAAAGCTGTCTACTGTGAACCTCTGAGAGATGTGAATTGAGTTGAGCTTCAGGGAACCAAAGTAGAAGTTCTCAAACAACTGAAAAGGAAGAATAAAAACCCAGAATGAATATTTAAAGATAATTATAGATGAAAATATTAAACAGCAGATTCTCTTATAAAAATGCCAAACCACAACAATCCCAACAAACCTCTCATGCTTTTTCTTTCAGTATTTATTCTGAATAATAATCCTGATGAGGAAGAATGAGGGTGGGAGTGAGAAAAGAACAGCCCGTGCCTCCCACTGATTAATTCTAAAGTCACCCCTGACAAAATGCACTAGAGAAGGAGATCTGGAAAGTCAAATCTAAAATCGATCTACCGAGCAGATATGATCAAGAACTTGTAACAAACACCGCCGGGCCACACCCTGACTTGCAGGGCCTGCCAAAGCTGCTTCTGACTTCTGGTTACTGACCACGGAGCATCCAACAG